CTTTATGAACAGTGGTATGGAACACATCATTATTTAATGGATTTAAATCTTTAAAAAGGTAATAATATAAAGTGCCAGACCATTAACAGAGAAAGTAAACTTCATAATTTTTCCCCATAGGTGTTACTAAACAGTGAAAAGTACTTGTAATACGTGTTAATAAAACAGCAAACCACTGCATAAGTAAATCCCCAAATAACACATGAGCTGATATTTATGAACCCCTGTTCATACAGAAAGACAAAGGCACAACCTGAAGGTAGAGATTGGATGAGATAGTACCTGTAATGTACTTATCACACTGTTTGGCATATAAGTAAGGGCTCCGTGCACATCGGGTGCTGTAAGTACTATTAATAGTAATAGGAGTCCTTTCAGTGAAAGTTTCATTACCTTAAGTTTTCTGTTCACTGTTGCCTGTCTTCTCAAGTTGATTATTCTAAAAAATGAGCTTACTAAATATAATTGAGTTGAACTAGAAAACCACAGACTGTATTCTAGTCATTGAGTTTTTCTTCTCTTCAGTGATCTCCCACCCTGACCTCAATTCCTTTTAATGGTTCTACAGATAAAGTTTATGTTCATTAAAACATATAGGCAAGCAAACACTTTTTAAAAAGTTACACAAGTTAACAAAAAAGATACAAAGGAATCAAGGCATAGCAGAAGTATGAGGATTCAAAAAGTAATACTATTCCTCAAGTAAAACCACAACCATTTTTACCGTATGGAAACATTTTCTCAAAATAGAAACACAAAATTTTTGTTAGTAATGAATGGGTGTGTTCTCAGTGTTGTTTGGGAAAGTGATGTAATGCATAGCCTGTGTACCAACTTTTTTGTCTTTTTTTTTTTTTTTTTAAATATTGAGTTTTCTCAGGTAGCCTAGGCTAGTAGTATTAAACTCACTGTATAATAGCTCAGGTTGGTCTCCTCCCTCCCTGGGATTACAGATGTCTGCCTCAAAGTTGGGCTTTTTGTCATATCTTAGCAATTGTACCTCAATTGATATCATTCTTCATGGTCTAAAATTTAAGATACTTGAAAACCTTGATACTTGAAAAACCTCAGCTTTTTCAGTCTTATTGTTTTCTATATCATAAATGTTCTAAAATAGTGTATATTATTCTGATTGTGTCAACATATGATTTGGATGAAAGTACTATATATTAAATTTGTTAGTGTTTTGTAATTAAAAATTACTATTACCTTATTAAAATTTATGAAGTCTTTTAAAAATTTATCTTAAACTTATACTTAGCTTTAGAAGACACTTAAAACACTGAAGAATATTTAAAGCTGAGCTGTTAGTCTAAAAGAAAAGCCTTCTTGCAAACAAATAAAATGAATAAAGATAAAAGCAATAGTTTTATGTGGTTTTATCTCAGATGAATAGTGTCTTTAGTACAGAATATTTAGGAGAGGTTGTTACAATTTGTTAAAATTTTAAATTCGTTGTGTTTACATGGACATAATTGTAATTGACGTTACATTTAGGTTTTTTGTATTTGCATGCATTTATATTGAATAGATGCATCCATTCGACAGATGTTTACTGATTCCTGCAATATTTAAGACTTAGCACTGCTACTTTCCAGTTGAGAGCCGGTGGGGATGGGCAGGCATGAGCGTAAGTAAGTACACAGTTACAGTACACGGCACAAAGGAAGCGTTGGAAATGTTGGCGAGGAGTGCTCTTCAGACTTTGTGTTTAAGCTAGAGGGACGTAGAATGGAGAGGCCAAGCAGATGACATGGCCAGTATTTAAGAGCAGTCCTCCACTTCCAAGTACACCAGTGCCCGCCTGAGACGAGACAGTGCTGTGGACTAAGTGTCTGAGGCAGTGTCTTCATGGGATCTAGGGGTGACTGATGAGGTAGTGGCGGTGGTGGTGGGTGCCTGGATTTATGGTATACTTTGAGAATAGACAAATGGTGTAAAATTGTGAGTTATTATTGAATACCTATGTAAATTTTCATAAGGCCTTTTAAGATACCTCATTAGTGTATAACTTGTCATTTTTAACTAAACTGTTACTTGCTTAAAATCATCATAAATGGCATTGTGTCAAAGGCTGTGAACATTTACATTACTTTAAGTAAATACCTACCGACTTGCTTTCTGAAGGGAGTGTGGCTCATTTCATCTCCAGAAATGATTTCATCTCACCTGTAGTGCCTTCTTGCCAGCAGAGTAAATTTTATTTAGAAGTTTTATACTACCTCACAGATTGAAAAAAGTCACTTTTTCTGGGGATAATTCCCCTTCATGGAATAGCTTTATTTGTTATTTTATTGTGCTCAGTGAGTTTAAGTGACTTTATTTTGTTCTAATTTCTGATTAAAATTAATTAACTAATTTAAAATGTAAAATATTGCTGCTTTTCTTTGTTCCATCATTTACTAGTTTCCTTGTTGAATCTAATTTTATATTGGTTGAACTTTGATAATATGATTATTTTAATAAAGGAAATACATTTGTTTTCAGAATACTTAAAATTTGTGAAGTTATTTTACTGGCTTATCCACAGGAATTGGCAGGTTTTTCTGTAAGGGTTACATGAGTCTTTGTCACATCATCTTCGGGGTCTCAGAGTTGCTGGCTTCAGAATCATTCAGTGTGTAAAAGCTAGTTCTTGGAGGATACAAAACCGTGGGCAGGATAGATCTTGGCCTGTGGGGAAGTGTGTTAAGTTTTTTGTTAAAACCTCTTGGGGTTTTAGATGCTACATCGATACAGAGTTTCATTTTGTTCTTCCCCTACTTTTTGTCAAAAACATGAAATTGAAACAAAATATTTAGTGTATCATTTTAAGTTAATTTATTTTTGTGTGTGCACAAGTGTGCATACTCAGGTTATATAGTGGTTAAATAACAAATTGTGGGTGTTGATTCTCTCCTTCCACTGTGTGGGATTTTGGGACCAGTCTCAGGTTGGCAGATTTAGTGACAGGTACCTTTACCTGCTGAGCCATCTCTTTATTCCTAAATACCACTTTTTGTTCCGCTTGCCTTTTGCTTTATTTTTAGTCCTGTGGCTTTTTTCCAGATCACACTTTGTTAGTTAGCACTTTTGACCCTTGGTTTCTGTCAAGTTGCCCTGTGTTTTTTGTAGCACAGTGACTACATGCTTCTGAGGATACAGACTGTAGTTAAATAATTTCACAGTGACTGAATTTTTAACATAAACCCATTGTTTGCAATTGGCATTGTTTTGTAAGAAGGCTGTGGGTTACACTTTATGACAACTGCATGTGGCTCAGAATTTTGCTGTCCGTATACATCGGGAAGGGAACAGTGAGACAGCTTTTCCAGTATCTTGGTTTGTTTGAATGAGTGAATGTTCATTACAGAAACATCTTATAAAATACCTGCAGAGACAGCTGGTATTTTATGTGTGCACTATCAAATGGGGTCTGAAGGTTTTGTCAGTTGGTAGGTACGGGCCACACCTGTAATGCTGATGTTTAGGAAGTAGAGGAGACCAAAGTGTGAGGCGATAATGACAGCCCAGTGGTAGACCATATGCTTAGCGAATGGGAGGCTCTGGGTTTAATCCTCAGCATCAAGAAAATGAATTCAGAAAGTAAAAGCAAAAGCTAAACAAATATATATATTTAGCATCAGTACACAAGAGAGACAAGCAAGAGCTGGATCTGTAGAAATTACCTGTCAAGACATGAGCCCTTAGGGCTGCTGAGATGGCTCAGCTGGTAAAGGCACCAGGCTTCTGACATCCAAGTCTTCCTGAATGAGAGTTGTGAGAGCTGGTTTTTTAGTATTAATTTTAAATACATTTTAATCTAATCTATATAATTACAAGGTTTAATCTTCACATAAGGTGTGTGTGTGTGTGTGTGTGTGTGTGTGTGTGTGTGTATGTGTGTGTGTGTGTAAATCAAAGTTTGCCACTGGCTTGGTTTGGTTTGGTTAGTTGTGAGCCTAACCTCTAATGGCTGAGCTATCTCTCCGGACTGGTTTTAAGTGGGTAGTTTAGTGAGATTATTATAGCCACAGTGTTATATGACCATTAGCATTGTTTGCATTTAGAAACTTTTTGCTCTGAATTTTTAATTCAGTACCCATTAAACAACAGTTCTAACTGTCTCTTCCTTAGTCCCTAGGGGAACTTCTGTTGTTTTGTCTCTCTGAGTTTTCCTTAGGTGTCGATTATACATGAAATAATAACATGTTTGGTGTCTGATTGATCTTACTTAGTGTATGTATTCAAGATTCATCTATGTTGTAGCATGTTTTCAGAATATTGTTTCTCCTTATGACTGAACCATATTCTATTGATCTACATAATTACATTTTGATAATTCATTTGTGATTCAGTATGCACTTAGGTTGTTTCTATGTTTTGGCTGCTTTCATTTCTCTCTCTCTCTCTCTCTCTCTCTCTCTCTCTCTCTCTCTCTCTCTCTCTCTGTGTGTGTGTGTGTGTGTGTGTGTGTGTGTGTGTAGGAATTGAATTGCTGTACCCATACAGTAATCCTCTATTCACTTTCAAAGGCAAACTGTTTTTCCTGTGGTGGCTGTACCATTTAGCATTCCTAGTAGCACTGCCTAGCAATTAGTTTTTCCACATCCCTTCTAATACTCAAATATGTTGTTTTCTGGTTTTTGTTGTTGTTGTTGTTTGTTTGTTTCTTTGGCCAGGAGTGCATTAAGAACAAGGTCTCACTCACTGTGTAGACTTGGCTGGCCTGGAATTTGCTATGTAGACCATGCTGGCCTTAAACTCACAGAGATTTGTCTGCCTTTGCCTCCCAAGGTGTTTGCCAATAACCATCCTAATGGGTGCTAAATGGTGTCTGATGGTTCTGATTTGCAGTTCTCTTAATGATATCTTCAAGTATTTATTGGCCACTTGTCTGCTTTGGAGAATATCTGAAGTGCTTTGTCTGTTTTGAATGGGGTCTTCTATTGCTGAGTTGTTTATATACACCTTTTAAAAGATGCACTGTAATAATCCAGACTGTATTTCTCCCTTCTCAGGATTCCTACAGGAAACAAGTAGTAATTGATGGAGAAACCTGTCTCTTGGATATTCTCGACACAGCAGGTCAAGAGGAGTACAGTGCAATGAGGGACCAATACATGAGAACTGGGGAGGGCTTTCTTTGTGTATTTGCCATAAATAATACTAAATCATTTGAAGATATTCACCATTATAGGTGGGTTTAAGTTGAATATGAAAGTTGGCATGTGAAATAATGATAGCTTACATTTATTGATTCTTTGCTAATTGTTATGCCTGCATGATCTGTTTAAATTTGCAAACATCTGTGTCAAGTATGCATAATTCCTGTTTTACAAATGCATCTCTTAGGTTACAGCAGTTGCATAACTTGTCCCTGTGTGTACAGATAACAGGGGTGCTGGCTGAGACCAGGCCCGTCTGACATCTGGGTCTTTGTACTCTTACCTACCCTGTACTAGAAGAGTAAGGTTTTTACTTTGTTAGATACATAGAAGTATCAACTGGAAACAGGAATATGGAAAGAAGGTTGGAGATGGTGCCACTTGAATGGTCTTAACAATAATCATATTTTATTACAGAATTTCATTGTTTGGATAAGCAGTGGCCCTAAGTGGGTTTTTGTTTTGTTTTTTTGTTTTTAAATATGTTTAGATGGTTGTAAGGGGTTGAAGAATTAGAACAGTTACTGGCTTTTATTTTAAGAGCCTGAGAAATATACATAAGATTACTTAATCATTACATGGAATGTATTTTACATTCTGCCCTTGGTGGTTCACAGTATTCATTGCACTGCTTATTAAGCAATTATCCCTCTTCCTGGCTGTGCTGTTTAACTGTTGTTAGCCTAGTTAAGTGTAGCATCTTCATTAAGAATAGTTGCCTGGGTTTACGGTGAAGTGATTGGCAGAGTACTTTTCTGTAGAGGTATTCAGGTGAACTTTGTTGATAGACGTCCTGGGGATATGAACCTTCCAATTAGCATCTTGGATATTCACAGAAATTGTGAAGGAATACATTTTTCCCCAAATTTAGAATTCATTTACACATTATATTGTCAACAAAACATGAAAAGGACTTTGAACAGAATATACATTTTATTCCCTTTAGTGTTGCTCTCTTAAAAAAAAAAAATCAGTCTTCAGGGCTGGAGAAGTGGCTCAGTAATTACTCACTATGTTGCTTTTCCAGAAGACCAAAGTTAATTCCCAGTATCCATGTCAGGCATCTCCTAACCACACGTAACTATATCTCCTGGGAATTCATTACTTTGGCCTCCATGGCACCTGAATTCACATGCATATACCTATACATAGACACACATATATGTGGTTAGAAATTAAAACTGAAATCAGTCTTTAATGATTGTCTTTGTCCCTGAGTAGTTCAGGAGTCCCCTTTACCCATAGTTTTATTGTCTGATGTTTCACTCACCTAAGTATGAAATATGAAATGGAAATTTCAAAAAATAAAGGATTTCTAAGTCTTCACTACCTTTTTTTTTTGGGGGGGGGTGTTTTTTTGGGACAGGGTTTCTCTGTGTAGTCCTGGCTGTCCTGGAACTCACTCTGTAGACCAGGCTGGCCTTGAACTCAGAAATCCGCCTGCCTCTGCCTCCCAAGTACTGGGATTAAAGGCGTGCGCCACCACCACCCGGCTTGACTATCTTTTATTATATATTATTATAATTTTTTGTTTTATTCTTCTCTTACTGTATTGTCAATTGTCAATTAAACTGTATTATTGACATGTACATATAGGAGAAAATAGTATATGAAGAGTTTTGTTCTATCCCCAGTTTTAAGCACTCATGCAAGATTCTCAGAATATTTGCCCAAAGAGTCCTCTGAAATGTCAGAGTTATGTTGATGCTGTTAATTCACATTTGGGTGAAAACAAACCCATTTTTCTTGAGATAGGGTTTTACTGTGTTCCTTTGGCTTGCCAGGAACTCACTATGTAGACCAGACTGGCCTAGAATTCACAGAGGTCCTCCTACCTCTGCCTCCCTAATGCTGGGAGTGAAGGGATGAGGCACCATATCCATTGGATGAAAATATTTTCAATTGTATACATACATATTTACATATATGTGTCATGTTTCTAAGATAATTTTAAACATTTTGGTTTGAAACTTTAGTATTTTTCATATTTTTATATATGCATGTGAACGAACAGATATGTAAGATTTTTGTCTTAGAGGGAAAATAAGAGAAGTGAGGAAAATTTGGTAGGATAGAAACTAGGATTCATATGAAGAAACCATTCAATAAAGTTTTGTAAGATGAAATTGAGTGCAAAGTTTGAAGTATTTGTGTGTGACTTACGCTTCTGCTTCAATTTTTTTCTTCCCCAGAGAACAAATTAAAAGAGTAAAGGACTCTGAAGATGTGCCTATGGTTCTAGTAGGGAATAAGTGTGACTTGCCTTCTAGAACAGTAGACACAAAACAGGCTCAGGAGTTAGCGAGGAGTTACGGGATTCCATTTATTGAGACCTCAGCGAAGACAAGACAGGTGAGTACAGCTGGATCGATGTGAGTCTGTACTCTGCTGTGTGCTCCAAATGGTGTTCACCACTGATGTTCATTTCCTGATGGCGTCACTGGGGCATACATGCTACCATAGCTATGGTTACATGTTAGTCATCTAATGTGATTCGCCAGTCTATTATCCTAGTAGAAAATAAAGTAAAATAATGTTTATTTGGCAAATGTCTTCTCTTGAATGGACAGTACTTCTTATCCATGGACCATGATATTACTTTGGATATTCATATATATTACTTTGGATATTCATATTCATTTTTTTCTCTCTCTCTCTCTCTCTCTCTCTCTCTCTCTCTCTCTCTCTCTCTCTCTCTCTCTCTCTGTGTGTGTGTGTGTGTG